CCCAAAACCCCAAAACCCCAAAACCCCAAAACCCCAAAACCCCTTTTTATTCAGTATTAATAGAAATTTAAATCTAAATGGAAGAAGAAGGGTCCAGCTACAACTTATCTGGAGAGCCGGGGAATATAAACACAACTGTAATTCTTATTTGTAGAGAAATAGTCCCTCTAGATTAGCTATCCCACACTCAGGATTTAGTTGCTTATAAAATTCAGTTAGCACTAAAGCAAGAGCACAAAGCTACTTTCTAGAAGATTTTGTTAACAAAAATAATTGGATATTCTTCTAAAAGTAGTATGTTTCACTACTAAACGATGCTGAGGGATCTCTGTAGCTAGAATAGATGGTAAAGAATATAATTGAAAATATTGCGTGTTTGTGCTTCATTTTACATAACTTCAATCCGCGTACCAATTCTCTAAACATGACTATTTTTGTCACATTCTTATTTTCCAAAATTCATGCTACCAAAAATTTTGCGGATAATTTGGCAAGGCAGGATCAATCAAGTAATGCCTTGTGCATTTGTAGAAATATAGCTCCCTAACCTTCTTGATAGAGTCTAAAAGAAAGAATCGCCCAAAAGAAAAGAGCAATGGAAGAATCTACTCCGAAAGAGGTTGACCCGAACAACTGTGCTATCCATAACAAAAAACTTGAAGTTATTTGCTACGATTGTAGGATTAGGATCTGTCCAAACTGAGCTCTATTTGGAGGGCACAGAAGTCATGATATCAGGGAGGAGCATGAGCTCCTCCAGGAGATCACTCTCCGGGCTGAGCTTCTCCTTGATATCTACCAGCTGATAGAACAGAATAAGAGCAACATGGGCGACCAAGCTGAGGTAGATGATCTATATAATCAATTCATAATGAAACAAATCTCTCTTAAAAAGGATGTTGCTAACAAATTCAAGGAGATCAACAATGAGCTCCTCAGAAAAGAAAAAGCCATCATGAACATTCTTGAGAGAAATTTCGACTCGATTGAGAAAACTTTTGGAGAGATTAAAAATGGTCCCAAGAAAGTCGTAGAAATCGCAGATAAATGGTGAGAGGAGGTTCAAGAAAAGATGGAAAAATTTGAAAGCCAAACAGAGCAAAATACAAGTGATCAAGAATACATTGCATTTGAGATGCTCGAAGATGTCGACCAGGAGAATGATATTATTAGAGTTGGGGAGAAGGTCCTAGCAGACTTAGATAAACAAATCCAACCTCCCATTCCTCAGCTAGAAGACAAACTTAGAAGATTGATTGTTCAGTTTGATGAACATTTTATCAACAAATTGGAGATGGTATGACATGTGCCTGATCTCTCGAAAGAAGATGGAGAGCCTTACGTTTCTCCACCTCCATCAGATGATATCAAATCTTTTGAGAAAAGAATTCAAAATAAACCCGAACCAATGGTGAAGACATTGCCAGGCCCTCTTCTGAAAAAGAAAGAGTCTGCTGAAAATAACTTATTAGATGAGGACGATGATAACCTTTTGACGACCTTTGATATGAGCGAGAAGATAGAATCAGATAATTCACTTCTTCCTAACAAGCATGATGATAGCATGAATTTCTTAGATGACATTCCTGATCCAATAAGCGATAGCCGTCCACAAGATGTTGAGCCAGGAGACACAGATGCAGCTTACGACATAATCTCTGAAGTATTAGAGAACCAAAAAGGGACACTAGATCTCTCCAACAGAAGACTTGGGGATGACTTTTTCATCTCTATGATCGAAAGCATCATTGATTTCGCCGATGGGGAACCTCTAAGTGTGATTAACTTGAACTTCTCAAACAACGATATCTCTGATATCGGTTGTGAGAAGATCTGTGAGTTTCTCATAATCCACAGTGATTCAGTAGCTGCACATATCTCAAACGTGAATCTCAGTTGCAATAATGTTGGAGATAAATCAGTAGCAATCTTGGAGACCCTTTGTGCTGAGCATCCGAACCTGCAGGTGCTGAATCTGAGCAACTGTTGTAAGCTTAGCTCGGCTAAAACCCAGAGCAAGTTTGGGACACTCCAGAATGTTAATGTCATTTTGTAGGGTAAATTGCTTAATGCTAAATTTCAAAAAAATTATGTAATAAGGGGTTTTGGGGTTTTGGGGTTTTGGGGTTTTGGGG